CCCGCGGGCAGCGGACAGGGTTATCCGCTGCCCACGCGCTCCGCGGCTTGGCTCTGCTTTGCCCCCCCGTCTCCCTGGTCTGCAGTTTCAGCAGCGGCTGAATCTGGACGCCAGTTCCGACTTACATACAGATTCAACTTAAGAACAAACCTACAGTCCCTATCTTGTATGTAACCCGGGGACTGCCTGTACTACAAACTCCCACTAACATAGATGGGATGGAGCTAATGCAGGATCAGGGTCAATATTTGTCGTCTTTGGCCCTTACTTGCAGTCTCCCAGATAAAGAATTCTAGTTTGATTAGACATTATAGTTCCGACTTACATACAGATTCAACTTAAGAACAAACCTACAGTCCCTATCTTGTATGTAACCCGGGGACTGCCTGTACTACAAACTCCCACTAACATAGATGGGATGGAGCTAATGCAGGATCAGGGTCAATATTTGTCGTCTTTGGCCCTTACTTGCAGTCTCCCAGATAAAGAATTCTAGTTTGATTAGACATTATTACACACAGATAAACATAGCGGACATAAAAAGTGGAAGTTACTACTCGGTTTAAGCAAAATACCATGGGTTGAGAATAATCCAATTTATCACCGAAATACTTGGTTTAATTATTTTCTTTTCACCTCTGGAAATAAAAGATCAGCTGCATATAAATAAAAGGCAATGTGGAAGAAAACATTGTCCTCTGCGTTTGTAAGCAACAAGTAGCCAAAAGCAGTTTTATTACAAGCTGCAGCAAGGGAAAAACTGGTTCGGGCCGGAGGGGGGGGGGAACAGTTTATATACTGTCCATTAGATATAATAACAATAACAATTAGTCTCCTTCCCATTACAAACACCAATGGCTAACAGTTATTTTAGTTCCACCCAGATGCTCCTTATCTCAAGGTCCCTGCCAGAGTCAGCATTCTATCCTTATCTCTGTATGAAGCCAAGAGGCAAAGAGGGATAGCTTAGTAGTTTTGAGTATTGGCCTGCTAAACCCAGGGTTGTGAGCTCAATCCTTGAAGAGGCCATTTAGGGATTGGGGCAAAAATTGTCAGGGATGGTACTTGGTCCTGCTGTGCAGGCAGGGGACTGGACTCAATGACCTTTCAAGGTCCCTTCTAGTTCTAGAAGATAGGCAATCTCCTTTAATATCTAATTACAGATCTCACGTTGTCAGGCCACAGACTTAGCCTGACTCTTGCTCTCTTGTTAACAAGATCAAGATGGCTGCACACAAATTCTCTTTTCCTGCCTCCACAGCAACAAGTAAGCCTGTGGCACCTTAAGAGACTAACAAAAATATATATTATATAATATAGTATAAAAATACAAAAAGTATATTATGTTAGTCTTTAAGGTGCCACAGTACTACTCATTGTTTTTAAAGATCCAGACTTACATGGCTACCCTTCTGAGATATTTTAATAAATGGCATTAAATTCAACCACAACGCCAAAAGTGGATTTTAAAATATATATATTCTTCCATTAAAATATTTAAAAACATGCTAGGCATATTGTTCAGACCTCTCATAGTTATGAGGCTGGCTGTGTATCTGTCTCCTTCCTTACTCTGAACACCTTAGGTCAGTGGTCCCCAACACGGTGCCCGCAGGCGCGATGGCGCCCGCGGGGGCATTTGTGTGTGCCTGCTCGGGACTGGCCTGGCCCCAGACACGTAGCACATGCATGGTGCCGGAGCCGGCCCCGGGCGCATGGCGCACGGTGAGCGCCGGCCCCAGGAGCGCCGCAAATTGGCTCACTTGGGGGGGTGGGCCGCCGGCCCCGGGCACATGGCACTTGAAGGGGGCCCAGAGCGCACAAGTGTCCCCACCCTCTGGTGCCCGGCAGGTGAACGGCCACACCCCCTGGGGCCCGGCAGCCTCAAATGGTTGGGGACCACTGCCTTTGGTTATGTGTGTAGTAAATTGAGGGTCAGTAACACGGAGTCAGCAGGCCTAAATAGAGGCCTGTAACATGAAAACAGCAACAGGCTTGCAATCTAGTGAGCAAGACTTTGGTTCAGTAACACGGGAGCCAAGAAAGAGGCCCTATTGGTAATTGTGTAAGTTAGGTGGAGCATGGAAGGACACAGGGAGGCACCAAGTACAGACTGTAAGCCAAAGGGGAGTAGTGGAACATCTTAATAAGAAATGTCTTGGTACAAAGACTATCCAAAAACGAATGCACATACCGACCTAGGTTCAGAACCGGGTTGAGATTGACAGCATGAAGGATAATAAGTAAGCCCCCCTTGCATAAGGTGAGGGGTGGTAACTAGGCAACAGAGGGAGGCAACCTGGTACGTAAAGAAGTGATGTACGTTGTTTGTACCTGTCTATAAAAGGACACCGCAAAGGGTACTCTCCAACGAACGGGGGGGCGCACTAGGCGCCTGAACAGCAGGTGTCATTGCCTACACTTACAGAATGCACAGTGGCTTAACTTTAACTAACCGCTGTTAATATCTGCTATTTGGTAATAGGCCTGCTATGTGTTGGTACATTGTCAACATGGACCAAATGTACAGTGGTGTAGCGTTGAAAATTTCTGCTACCAACTGTTAGAGCTTCACATTTGACAATAAACCTGCTAGACTAATTTCAAACCTTGCCTGCATCTGTCATTTCTGTAAGCTCTCAGAGATCTCCTGTGTTGACCAAAGTGCATGGGGTCTAACACGCTCGATAAAGGGAGCATTGTTACGCAAGCAGCTGAAAGTTTATCATCACTGACAGATTGGAAATGATACACTGAACACTGGCAATACGGACCACTGAAGTACAACAATGTACATACTATTACTTAGGGAAAAGGTGCATAGTTTTGGGATGTGAATATTCCACACACCCCACTCCAACATGCTTCACAGGCAAAAGCACTCCTGCCAACAGCTTGTAGGGCGTGGATTAATTACATGGACAGGAGAGCTCTCTACTGTTGGCATAGAGCAGATACACAAGAAATCTTACAGCAGTGCAGCTGCATTGGTACAGCTGGGCTGCTGTATGCTCTCTGGGTACGTCTAGACTGCGGGTTTTTTTCGAGATACCAGCGATATCCAGAAAAAACTGTCGCATCCAGAGAACACGTTTGCTCTTCTGCTTTTTTTTGGCAGATGAGCAGATGTGCTCTTTCCGAAGCCCCTGTCTTCCTCGTTCCACGAGGAAGAAGGGCTCTTCTGAAAGAGGGGTTTTTTCTGAAATTTGGCCCAGTGTAGATGGGCCAAATTTTGGAAAAGCCTCTTCCAGAAAAAAAAGCGGAAAAAGGTTATAGTCTAGATATAGCCTCTATTATAGACATATCCTTACTGATTCATCTGCTATTTGATCAGGACATGGGTCCGGTACCTCCTATCACACTGCAGGCTTAACTCAACTTTGAACATCTGTGGTTCCTTTCTTCAGCAGCCTGTTACGCTGACCAACAGCCTGGTTAGAACAAAGTGGCTGTGTCTAGACTGGCCACTTTTTCTGGAAAAGTAGTTGCTTTTCCGGAAAAACTTGCCAGCTGTCTACACTGGCCGCTTGAATTTCCGCAAAAGCACTGACGATCTCATGTAAGATTGTCAGTGCTTTTGCGGAAATACTATGCTGCTCCCGTTCGGGCAAAAGTCTTTTTCCAAAAAACTTTTGCGCAAAAGGGCCAGTGTAGACAGCAGAGATTTGTTTTCCGCAAAAAAGCCCCAATCGCGAAAATGGCGATCGGGGC